ACAAAACCAGAATCCCAAGTGGTTCATTTGACTTGCAACCGTCACAACAGTCTGCCTGCATTTCAGACATGACACACAAATTGTGGAAGGCAGGGTAACAGTATGGGGTTGTAAGGAGAGCAGAGCTCAGGCAAAACAGATAAATCTTGATTTTTCCAGAACACATTGTTTTAAGAAGGACTAAGGAAATTCCACTGCTGATGGATACGAAAAAGAAATTATATAACATGACATGATTGTTTTAATTTTTAAAACAAGGTATCTTTACAAAGATATCTTTAAGTTTCAGTCTTTTGTCTCATACCAATGGTTTGATATCACTGGGTTCACTTTGAAACTCATTTTCACAACCACTTAGTGATTTCAGCAGCACTGCACACTTTATATACAGTACTGTTTAGAAGTTGTCAAGTTTGGTGTCAGCCAAAAAAATGAACACGGGCTAAGATGTCAATCAGCATCAAAAAAACCTTAAAATGAGGCATTTGATAAATTTTTGTATTTGTGTTGGCCAGTTTTGAGGTTTTTGGCAGCTCAGCTGCCCTGAGATTCTGCAGTGGTGTGAAAATGTGAGACTTGCGCAAGGAAGAAAATCTTTGCCTGTTTTTTTGTGCCCAGCTGAGGGGAAGGCTGAAGGAAAGGCACAAGGAAACCCACTGGCACTAAGGACCTACTGAAAAATAAAAACCAAACCTTCTGCAGAACAGGATGCAATTAACAGAAACACACAAAGCTACAGGAAAGCAAACCTCATGGAAATACTTCTTAATCTTCAAAATGTCTTCTTCGTTAACAGAGAAACTTTCCAGTCACAGTGGCCTGAGAAGCTGATTCTTGAATGACAATTATTTGAGAGCCAGGATGTACCCTGCACAAATTCTCCTCTACCTTCACCTACTCACAAGGGACATCCAAATGCTTATATAATTCAGGCTCTTCTGCAGTCACTCTGTCCATGATATCCCCCAAAAAGAAAGATCCAGAAGTTTTTATAGTGCCACACATTAGCCAGCTATTGAAAGCAGAACAAATGAAACCAGGGAGGCTGCCAGCAGCCTGGGTAGGCAGCAATGCAGGCTAACGTGACAAACTACTTTCAGGATTTTGAAATATAAGAAAGGAGGCATTTTCCTCACTTTTGCTTGGATTATTTTGATTCCAACCCAATTTTTGGTTGATGGAAAAACTCTCATTAATCTCAGTCACGCAGGCTCTAGCCTGCCTGGCACAACACCAGCTATGAGGGGAGCAGGGACTGTTACCCTTCTCTCCTCAAATACTGATGAACCAGTTTCCATTACTGACATGATCAGCTTGATTTGTTCAAATGACCATCAGAGTGACCACTAAGAAAAAGCCAAGTTTTTCACACCAGATTTCCAACTACGTGCCCAAAAGTTTAAGGTACTGAGTATGGCCAGCTCTTAAAGAAATCTACTGTTTCTGAAGAAACTCGGGGATTTAGAAAGCCATCAAGATCAAAGACAGAATCGTTATTTTTCCAATCAGCCTTTGCAATTTTGTCTGCATTTTACTAACTTTAGCCATGTACAGAACTCATTGAGGTTGGATATTTTTTTTGTTAGAGTTGTTTCTGTTATGGTTTGTTTTTCCTGACGTGGTTTGGTTTCTTTTTTGAACAATTATCTTTTACATGACAGTAAAAAAATGCCACAGCATTCGTTTCTCTAGCTACAAACAAAACAAGATAAGAGTGATTCCTCTGTTACTTTTCTACTGACTGCATGAAAAAAACATGACTAAAAATTTCAAGTCCATAAATTTGACTAATAAACACGTAAAGACTGAGTCACAAGCTGTGTGACTGCGGAACGATGGATTGAGATTATGTCACGAATGATATTTTTTTCAAACTTCTCCAAAAAAAAGTTGGAGCAGGAATCAGATACATAAAAAAAAATGATGCTGAAACCAATAAAATTCCTCCCATGAATATGCAGAGCGGGGTTTAGACTGTACTCCTTTTGTCCTGTATGAATTATCCATCACATTTCTCTTGTACATTACTAAAGTGACTTGCTTTATCCTCCCAACCCCCCACATCTGTGCTGCTGTAATTTATGTGAATTACAGTTAATGATCATTTGCATTATGCTTAATCAGCATATCAATAATATACTCTGCACAGAGTAAGTAGCTCTTCTTTCTTTCCCTTTTAATGAAACCTATAGAAATGGAGCTGGGGTTTGACTGATTGGCATCACAAAAAGGTTGCCTGGGCAGGTGCTGGGGATGGTGGCACAGGACAGGGGCCTTGTGGCTGCTGCCAATCATGCTCAAGCATCAGCAAAACCTGCTATTATATTTTTTTAATTCTTGTGCCTTGCTATTTGGAGGGGCCAGTGCTTTGTGCTGACGGGGTTTTAATGAGCTTGACCAGATCAGTGCGCCTGGAGCCAAGGCTGTGGCTGTATGGGATGGTTCAAGGAGAGATCACATTCTTCCAGGGTGATATTACTCACCAGAGTCTAAACCACTGCCATTACAGCGTGCTCATGTGGGACACACAAACCCCTGAATACCAATGAGCCACAACCCCTAACATGAATATTCAGGAATTTCTGGAAAGCTACTACTATATATGCCCAAATGAGGGAACTTATAGGAATAAAGAACAACCAATCAATTTGGGTCATTTTGCCAGAAATCAATCAATATCATGTATCAACAGGATAAAATTATTAACCTAGTAAGAGGTTTGTTAAACACTTCAGTTAAATTATTTTTAAAAACCCTGTAAGTCACCAGCTTTGGTGTCCTGACATTTATGTGAACACTGCTGCACGCTCGAGAGGAACTGGCACGACACCAATATTCTCATTTGTGAGTCACAGCCTCCAGTGCAGCTCTATCAGCTTTACCTTCTAAATCACTGCTCTGCTATTAGCAATCTTTCAATATGATGTGACATCTTTATTATAATGTTTTTCCACTGAAGTTTAAGTTCATATTTTAGCTCAGAGACAGACACAGCCATATTTACCAGGTTTAATTAATTGACTGTAAATAAAGGGCTGTAAGAAGAAGGCGCCTCTCTCACACGATGCTCAAGTTGTCACCATTTTACAGCAAAATGCCAATTGGCATAGGATAAACATTGTTATTTCCATACTTTACATTTATATTTCAATATGTAATCTTAAAATTTCAAGGTATTTTGAAGACTACAGTCTAGAGGCTCAGTTCTCTTCCAAAAACAGTCACAGCATATGATCTACATTAATTTTCTGCCACGCGATTTTTAACGAGGAATTTCATTAACTTGTAAGAACATCAGCGAAATTCCATTATTTACTTTGGCTTCGATATCCGAGGATATGGCAGTAAATAGGAACAGCATGTACAAACACACACAGACAACAACTTGGGCTGGATTTACCTGACAAAAACTTGCAAAAGCCAATAAAATTGACCTTGACAGATCCAGGGGCCCTTTTTGGTGGGGTAATGCAGCACATCTGTTTTCCTTATAGCCCCCATGATACCCTGCATCATTCCCTACCAACTGTTTCAGGCATCCAAGGCAGGAGAGACACAGCTGCAGGGAGCAGAGCAGCAGATCTGCACAGCTGCAAGGAGCTGAGCAGAGCAGGGGAGCAAAGCAGAGGAGCAGTGGGAGCTGGGAGAGAAAGGCTTCATAAAAAAAATGCAAGTGAAAAAAAACCAAAAACACACTGATGAACTAGAAATTGCTGGAGAGCTCCCTTCTGGACATCCTGTTTAGAGATGTTTCTTATTGGGAAAAGTCAGCAGAAAAAGCCACTAGGAGGAAACCTGAACCCTCTTCCCACCTCTTTCCCATGAGAATGGAACAATTTTATCCAGAGACACAGAGAGAGATCCATGCATAAACTCAAAAAATGAACCAAACCTTCATCCTTGAATACTGCCAAATACCTGCATAATGCCTAATATCAAAAGGAACAACTTAAACATTAGCAAAGGAATCCCATGAGGCAGAGATGCAAAGGCACTGTTAACACTGATTCTGTAAAAGCGATAAAGGTAAGAACAGCAAAAGAAAGTCTCACAGATACTTTCTTTCAGCAAAGACTTGATGGCTCAGCCTTCTCTGAGAGCAAGGGTAGCTCTGGACAAGTGGAGGTTTTTTGTGTTTGGGGGAAAAAGAATGCAGGAATACAAGAGTCATCCTGCATATCTACACGATGTAATGCAGAGAGAGAGAGGTGGGATGTTCCTACACACAAACACACATTCCACATGGAGGTGGGGAGTGAACACATATCAGCATCACTAGACAGATATGCACCATTTAGTCATCAATGTGATGTTATCATATAAGATATAAGACATTTTTAAAAATAGTCTGCTGGCAAAAAACTATGTAGAAATGATGGAGTTAGCAAATTGGAAAGCACAGGTGCTTTAAGACTGCACTTCTAAATCTGCCAATAGAATACCTACATTCATTAGATCTGGATACAAGGTTAACAAAACAACCACCAACCACCTCCAGCACATTATTTAGACATTTCTGTAGTGATACTCTAAGTCATAACTTGAACAGTTTAGCAACAATTCAGCACAAAAGTTACAAACAAGTACTTACATCAGCCACTTATGTCCACACAGCTTTCACCTCCCACCACTTCCATCTGAGCAAATTAGCAAGTAACACCATGAAGCAGAACCATAATCTCTTTTAGAAACACACTTTATGACAGAGAAGGAGCAGTACCTAAGGAGAACTTTTTGCTGCTGTTGTTCAGTGCACCTCTTGCTTTCATGTTTCTCCCCAAGGAACGAGCCTTTCCAGGGGTTTACGTGCACTGGGAGGGGTGTTGTAAAGAGAAGGCCCCACAGCTATGAAAGCCATATTTTACAAGTTCAGAGCAGATTATTGTTGCATCTCCAAAGCCCCAGCCTTATTGCACGGTGTCCTCTGAAGAGGAAACAATGGTTAAATAGCACATTGGTCTGCAGCAGCACTTTCCCATTTCACACTCCAGTGAACTCACCCCATGTGACGGGTAGGAGATCCAGCCCAGCTCCCCTTGAATTGTTTTTGAATCCAGCAGATTAACTACAAAAGAAGACACAAGGAAGAGCAGTGAGTTTCCTTTGCCTCTGCCCCGTTAACCTCAGTTACCCACACCCAGAGCTGTGTTTATTTGAGGACCCTGGGAGAGGTTGATTTGTTCAGGTGGCCTGGCGGTGAAGCTGCACAGAAGAAAAAGACAGACAAATGAAAAGGATCATCTCCTTTAGCTTAAAACACTATGAACAGCAGACAGGGCAACTTCTGAAAACCAGAAAAGTGACAATAAACAAACAATGGATCATGGCTAAATTAATTGCAGCAGGGGGTGGGAACAGAACTCTTCTATCAGCTACACAAACCACAGCGTTTTCCCCTCGGATGCCTGAAATTTGGGTCACTGCATCTAACTGAAATGGTGAGATCTGAATATTTAAATCATTATGTGATTAAAGGCATCCATTTGGCATCTATAATCTTCTCAGAATACAGGAATAAATAATGAAAGCTGATTAAAGTCCTTCCTGCAGTTCTTTCTTGCTTCTGATCTAATTTGTTCTCAAATTGTCTTGCAGTAGTGTTTCCTAAATGTCATGTGTAACACATTAGATACAAAAGTAATTATTTACAATGTTACAAGTTCAGACAAACCTGCTTTTAAAGAGGGCTATCAATTGATTGCTAATCTTGCTGGGATTTTTGTTGTTTTTTTGGGTTTTTTTTTTTTGAGCCATGCAATAATTTTCAGTGTGAAAAGGAAGATTTTATTTCTAAACAGTTTGACAGGCATTTTCCAGTCAATCAAATCTCAGTGGATTTATACTTATTTTTAAACACAACTATTTAAAATAAATACGTACATCGAAATTAAAGGATATTCTTTTGGCATGTGTTTCCTACAAGCACAAAAATTAATTCTTTTCCTCATCTTGGCCATACAACCTCCCAGTGCTTGATCACACACTTCCCTAAGTTCCCTAACTTCTCTATCATCATGAAGCAGAACAGGTGAATTTATATAAAATACTGTATAAAAATAGCCTCTATATAAATATCAACTAATTAAGCAATAATACTTCATAGCAACACTGTAATATTTATTATCTGCAATCTGAGCTTACTTTTGTTGGGTGTGTTCACCACCCCCCACACCCCCTTTATATTTTTTCCCCTTCAATATGGAAATAAAGACAATGAGACATGAAATAAATCTCAGCATATGCTAGGACATTTTAACACCTGACAATGACAGATTTATTAGAGGTAGCCACTGTAGCAGCTCCTTATTCTATTTGTTAACCTGAGGGGTTGTCACTGTCCCCAGAACCAGATGGCCTGAGCATTGGTGCTCCAAGTAACCAGAAAAACAGGAAAGAAAAAAAAAAGAGGGAGAATATCTATGAATCAGCTGAGTTAAGCTCTTTGCATTATTACATCATTCTCCTTTTAATTGCTGTTTCATTTTGGACACCACTGAAGAAAAGAGAAGGCTTTATTTTTACTGTTAATTAGGATGAGCAGACGGAGACACTGGTGTACAGTATTAGAAATAAGACTGTGCTATAAGGAACCATAAATAAATATTTTCTACATATGTGTGCATGCATACTTGTATTTTGTATAGATATATGTGCACTGCTATACTGCCAGGACTGAGCTGCTCTGCCATCTATGTGAAAAATATGTTTCCCCTTGCAGTTATACTTCCCTTTAAAAGAAAACAATTGCACTGTTTTATCTATATCAATAAACAAAATATCTTTACTAATATTACAGAAAGAACATAATCCAGTGCTACCTATTTCTTAGCTCTGAATCAAGTCCTCAATCACATAGACAAAGAAAAATCAGTCAGCCTTTTATTGAGTGCACAGGGCCCTAGGCAGGCAAGGTTTGCATCCATAAAAAGGAAACAGCAACAAAAATTCAAAAGGAAAAGTGCACTTCTCATTTTTTGTTACAAATTCCAAGAGATTCTGGATCTCCCGGGATGAGACAGATCTGTTTGCCATGCATCTGCACTGCACAGGGCTGAAGGAAGTGTGGCTCCTGAGGAAAATCTCTTGGCAAGAAGTGGCTGAGGCAAATCACCCAGGAGCAAACTGAAGTGATATATTTTACATATAATAAATAATATAATAATAATATAATATGGTGGAAACTCTAGATCTGCCCTGCAGGTCCAGCTTGCCCTCACAGGCATCACAAAAGAACATGGATGGCAATTAAATGTTCAGTGTCCCACACCACAAGCAGGTGCCTCAGCCATGGGGCAATGAAATTTCCCCTCTCTAGATCTGCCCTGCAGGTCCAGCTTGGCATCACAACAGGACGTGGGTGGCAATTAAATGTTCAGGGTCCCCCACAACAAGCAGGTGCCTCAGCCATGGGGCAACTTGACATCATCCAGATCAAATCCATGAAGTTAAGAACAATTTTTCAGTTCTCTCCTTCATTCCACTTTCCTCGTGTCCTTCAGACTGCAACCACTACTTTTCCATTCTCAAACCTGTTTCACTACATTTTAGAAGTCCTTACAAGGGAGGTTTTCACACTGGTTACAGGAGGTTTCTGGTTCAGATGTGTGTTGTGCTGTTCTTTAATAGTATCTAAAATGCAAAAATTTCCTTGCAATTAGTAATGCGAAAAAAACCACCTTCTTCCTGATAAACAGGAGGTTTCTGGTTCAGATGTGTGTTGTGCTGTTCTTTAATAGTATCTAAAATGCAAAAAATTTCCTTGCAATTACTAACTCGAAAAAAAACACCTTCTTCCTGATAAATGCTTCTAGGACACTTATTTTCCCTGTGACTTCCAGAGAGTTGCACACCTCAACAGAGAGGAAACAATAATGCAGAACTTAGAAGATGCAATCCTGGTCCCTAGACAAAAATGACTGGGAGAAGCAACTGTTCATTTTGTCATTGTATGTTCTAACACGACATATTAATCTGGAAACTGGAGGAAAAAATAGCATTTCCTTACACTAAGGCATAAGAAATTCATAAAGAATGGGTTAGAAATTCATTGTCTGATTTATTTTTCTTCATGAATTTGGATGGTTAGGTAAAAAGTAAAAATGGAAAACTTCACACAAGCACTTGATTCCTACATTAACTCATTACAACTTCTTTTAATCCTGACAGATCCTTTAGTGTAACAAAATACAACACTTGGACAGGTCCATTTTGTGAAGTGTTTCATAAAGATGTACTCGGTCAGATCCTCACTGGCAGGCATTTTTCAGTGTGATCCTCATTTGTTTTCCCACATACCATTAAAGTTAAATGAAAGCCAATACTTAAATATCCTACAAATGCCTACAGCCACGTATTTGCTAGATGAAAGGAGTTTATGAGTTTCTCACACAACTCATTTGCTCTCCTTGCACCAAGTCCTCCTGAAGAACTGTGTGACCATCACTCAGCTGGTTCCTACGAAATCCCTGAGGCTGACCAGCCAGTTACCAGGGGTAACTCTTAAAAAAGCTGAACAGTTTCATTGCCAGTGACAATTCTTTCCAAAAGAATGCCTTGGATAAGATTCCTAGTTGTGCTGAGGAGACACAGAGGAGCTCTCATGAAGCAACTTTAAGTAAATAAATAAAGTGCTGTCTAACTAGCTCGGTGTCCTGCATTGGTTCCCATCACGTAATTACCTTGATTTAAAGCTAGTGGTAATTCTAAGGGAGAATTTATTGGTATTAAGATGAGCAGCCATGACTTCTGAAAATCAGTGATTTGGCCCTCCTGTACAACAGCCCTGCTCACCACACTACAGTGCAGTATTTCTGCCAATGCACCACACCGCTAAAATGCCCATTAAGAACATTTTCCCTTTCTAGAGACTCTCTCCTGCCCAATTCTCTTGCCCTTTCCCGTGCACAGCCACAGGAGAAAGCATTATCAGCTCCCTCCACGTGGATTTCCAGGGGGTAGATCGAATCTCTCTCCAGAACTGGAGTAGGGATGTGGATGTGAAACACAAAGCTCCCTCGCTCTCCCTCTCACGGCATCGGCAGCAGATGAATGGAGGCTTGGGTGGAATATGACACTCGTGCTACCAGAAACTGCTTCCAGATTTGGGAGTGATGGTCCAGGGCTCACTAACAGAAAGTTTCATCAGGAGAGATGTCAGGGAAAGAAAAGAACCCTAAAACTAAACTGATTCCTGAACACAGTCTGAAAGCTGCAGCATTTCCAGAAACACGTGGAGTAATAACTGCCACAATGAACTGAATACAGCAGAAATACCTCCCTCAAGAATGAAAATAAACAAACAAATCCTGTGCCAGGTAGAATCACTCTTGAGATTCCCCTCACTGCTGAAAAAATGAGGAAAGTCTTCTAGGGGACACTATCCTGCAACTTGCAGTATTTAGAGAACCATCTACAAACAACTTCACCAGTGGAAAACATATCCAAATTTTCTTCTTCACATAGAAAATACAGAGCAATAGCCAAGGTCAAGAAATACATAAAATATTTTTGTTCAGCTAATTAACATTTTCCATTAATATTTTTTTTAAAGTGCATTAAAAAACCTCACATCAATATGTTGTGTTCTCTTGCTTGGTAACAAACTTTGAGTTTAGAAATACCCTGGCTAGTTATTAAAAAAATGCCAACAAATGGGAAAAATTAAATTTGCTATGCAACAACAACAAAAAAACCCCTAAAAAATTGTGAATGTCTAATTGAAATGTGCCATATAATCCCAAGCAGCAAAGAAAATACTCTGTGGCAGAAAGTCAGGCAGAAACCAGAACTTGGTTTTGGGGTGGGACAGAGTGGAGTCAGCACAAAGCCTGATGTGCATTTTTGGAATGGTGAACCCTTCCCAGCAAAGGGGGCTTGCACCTGTATTTTCATCCACCTATGAACACAGATCTGAGCCTTCCCAACTCTCCATTGCCCCAGCAGTGCCAGCACATCACCTTTGTGTCTTGGATTATTCTGGGGCTAGAACCAACATGTATAGACAGGCAGGCAGAACTCAGGCCAAAGTTGCATCTTGATGCAATTTTAATTTCCAGCTAGGATCAG